GTCTCTTTGTCCCTCCCCCACCCCCTTCTCTCTCTGCCACTCCTCCCCCCTTCTCTCTCTCTATCTCTCTCTCCATCCATCCATCCACCTGGCACCCCCTATCCAACATGCATCAGGGTTCCCAGCATAAAGACTTGGCGTCAGTCTACAAGTGCTCAGTGCATAAATAATATCTCTAGGCAGATTGAGTCAGGCTCCTCACACACTGCTTCCATAAAATAACTGTCAGTGGCCATCCAGTTTCCACTGGGGGCCCCAAACATGTATTGGAATGCACTATATAGGGGATATTATGGAAATGGCCATCATGACATTGTTTTGGGCCCTGCAACATGAGTTATGACATATTGTCAGAATGGAAAGTTGGATGTTTTAAGTGACTCTCTATTCTGACATGTAAACTAGTCACCCCAGCTGATTTTGGCAGCGTATTTGAAGCCTGGATTTCTGGTGGTAAGGAGAGAAATTCCAGTACATTTTTTAAAACCTAATTCACTAGCCTGTTTGAGCAATTTATTATTTACTTTAAGAAACACAATTTAATCAATTTAACTTGACTGATTCAACTTCAAACTCCCTTTTTTCAAAAGTTCAGTAGAATTAAGAGTCTTTTGCAGGGGGCGATCCAGAGATATTTTCTGACAGTCTTCCAAATTATCTTTGTTGTCCCATCCTCCATTTTTGACGGTCTTCTGACAGAAAAAAATAATACCCATCAATGTAAACTTGAAAATCTCCGTCTTCTAGAAGACGGCCTCTATCCGCCCCTGTTTTGAGGATTAGTACTTTCTCACATTTTCTTGCATGTAACTTTTATATTTCTTTCTAAGATGCCTTCTTGGTGTATAGTTTTGCCCTTATTGTTAAAAAGTTAACCCCACCATGTCAAGCCAATTCTCACAATTTTTTGTGACGTCGTACAGGCCATGGTTTCCATATCTAAGCCATATCTAAGTCTGGCCAGTAACTATGAAGAGCTACTAGTTCAAGTGACCAGTGGAAAATATATTTCCAGTTCTGTAGATGCTGTGTTTTATCTCTATCTTGCATGTATATATGTACTGCACTCAATGGTAAATAGTGGTATATAAGCATCCAATAAGAACAGTTCACACGGCACATTTGTGACCAACCTTTTGCAGAGGACATACTGTGAACATTGGAAAGAATATTAGATGATTGTATTTATCTCTTGTAGAGATTGTGTAACAAAATGCTATATTATCTTGATATTAACTGAATCTTCTTTAAGAACAGTTCAACTAGGTGTGAACCATGTTCGACAAGGAATGAACCACCGCCAGTGTGTAAACCCTCCTTAAGTTAACGGTTTACATAACATATATTGCATCTTTATTTCTTGGCAATTTCAAATGTGTTTGGTTCACAAAGTGCAAAGGTATCCAATCAGAATAAAGACCCCCAAAAGGCAGGAGTCATTAAATAATCATTTATCATTTAGAGCTTATATCACTGGCACTTAAATTTTAGAAGGAAACTCAAAATTTTACAATGAGCAATTCACAAAGCGATCATCACTAACATTTGCCATCAAGTTAGAAGAATAATGTAATTTGATATGCATTGTTATATAATATATCAGTGACGGCATACCAAAAACTTGTTCTTTTCTTGTTGGTAATTACCATCCAAAATGTTGTTGTGAAATAAATTAAACGTTTCAAAAAATTTTGGGCAATTCTGCTTGTAGCAGCAAATTGATTTTACTTGTTTTCAATATGTAAATTTTATGAATAATTAAAAACATCTTCATCAGAACTTTACAGACACAATATGAAGATGGGGATGTTTTAGTCGCAGCATTAAAGTATTCCCTTAATGTATAGTTTTACATTCAGGAACAATGATTAAACTGGGCACTTTTCCCAAAGGATTTACTTGTTCTGTAAAAAGTACACATCACGCATTTCTACCAAAACTTGGAATATTGATTCTTACTTCACCAAATTTGTTTTTGAACATGCTTGTGAAAATTCCATATGTGTTTAGCATGTTTCACCATTTTAGTAAGCGGATACAATATTTTTAACATTTCCTGCAAAATTTGCTATAAATAGATACAAATGTTTGCGACTCTACCCATAAAAAGCTCCGTTATTCGACTTAATAACTCTTCACTATTTCCTTATTTTTTTCTTAACATGGTCAGTGAAGTCTTTCAAATAGAAAGGTGCCTTTGTGCATGGTCCTAGCTGGAAACCTTAACCCATTTCTTGAAAGAAACCTGCCCAGAATGTAGGTCGGTGGTATTTATTTTCAACTGGTGTCAGAAAAATCTATTGAAAAGTTGCATAATCCACCTAGCCAAGCAATGAAGGGCTTTCATGTGATTTATGGGGAATTGGTGCAGTCCACTCAGAGGGAGAATGGGTAGTCGACTGCCTGCAAATGGCTGAAAGGCCTTTCTTTAAATATGCTTTACACTTCGCCCCTGTTCTGACATTAACACTTGGGAGAGAAAGAGAGGGAGAGAGGGAGGTGATGAATGAAAAGAAAGAAAGAGAAGCCTTGAACAGCTTCATCTCGATATAAATAAGCAATACTGGTTCAAGAGAAAGTTCAACAACCTCTAATGACATTGAACCTCAAGAGCAACAATCATATATACATACATATACATTCAGCAGACATATAGATATTTATATCAATCATTAACATATACAGAGGACACAAAAAAGTCTGGCCCTTACAAGCCTAAAATAATGTAATAATGAGCCTTCAGGGTCAAACAGTATCAGAAGAAAAAAGCAACACCAATTATCCATACATCATAATCACCTTTGTCATTTAAAATAATGCCAGTTGTGGTGTATTCCTTTCTAAAAATACTAAAAGCTGCTGTCGGTGTCTACATGCACTACAGTCCAAGTTCTTATGTTGTTACCAATAAATAAGCTGGATAAAATCAGCCATTATTATACGTCTTACAAGACGGCTACTAATTTGGTTTAAGTCTAGGTGTGAACGGACAATTAAGTTGCTAATGAATCTTTCTGCACCTAACATGATGATTGTACAGCAGCACAAGGCAGACAGGTATGTTAATAGGTCATAGAATGGACCGAGACAGAAAGAAAACACACATTATATAACGCATTTCCCGGGTGTTAATGTATGGAAGCAGAGTGTGCTTGTGTTTAAGGAGGAGAGACTCTGGGGATGGCTGGTTGGTGTGTGTGTGTGTGTGTGTGTGTGTGTGTGTGTGAGAGAGAGAGAGAGAGAGAGAGAGAAAGAGAGAGAGAGAGAGAGAGAGAGAGAGAGAGAGGGAGGGAAGAGGTTTACATGCTAATGACAATATTAATATGTGGGTATGTATGTGTGTGTGTGCGCATGCGTGTGAGAGAGAGAGGGGGAGAGAGGGAGGGAGGGGAGAAGGGTGTCGATGCTAATGCTAGTATAGGATAATGATTCCGACTGGGTAAGAACTGTATTGTTTTGGTCTTATCTAAGCTTAGGGTTAGTACAGGAATTGTGTAACAATTCAATTTTTACTATTTAGATGGGTTTATGTGTCATCGCTAGAGTTTTGCTATTTCGATCTTAAAATGAGACATTTGGTTAGGTTGATCAAACACTGTCTCCCTGTTCACAATAAGAATATGTCAAAACTTCCCTATCATCTGTGTCCACACATCAAACTACCAAGTACATGGTATCTGACAACAATATTATATGGGCTGGGTCTTCAAATATTGGTAATGGGCCACAAGCCTCGAAGGTTGCTACATAGTATACATACTCATTACATATTACTTATTTCTCACTATATCAAACTGTATCATATATATGTTACTATTTTATTATGTGTAATTGTAATTTTGTAACCATATGTAGCTTTATAATACCATGGCTTATATCAATAAAGTTCTTCACTGGTAAACACACTGTCATCAATTTTGTCTGGACAGATATTAAAAAAAATATGGCATTGTGGAGGAAAGGGCAAGTGCCTTTCCACATCCAGTTTATAACCAGAAAAATATGGCTCACAAGAAAAAAATGACAACACAAAATGCCAATAACAATTAACAGTCAGCTTTTCAAACATTTAAACTACTGCACAATCATAAGACATATGTTATGAACTTGGCAGATATCAAGATATGAGAATAGTCTGGTATTCTATTTTTAGGTGGAAGCTGAAGGACTTGAACTTCAAGTTGGAGAGAAAGATGATGACCTAATTTTATGAAGTAATCGGTGGATATTTACAGTGTAGATTTCACCACTCGGCCGCTTGCCCCTTTAACATAGCAGCAAAATACCAGCGTCACTTACCCCATACGATGTGTAATAAACCACAATGTAAGAATATGGCCACAAAACTCAGCATTTTCCTCGATAAATCCATTGATCGTGGCCTGGTTAAAACAACATATCCGATGCATACAATGGCGGCGAGGAGATATTAGCAGTGGCTGTGGCCGACGCCAGCTGATCGCGGGGCTCAGTAACACTCTAACGTCTCTTCTCGTCTAACCCTCTCTCCTTCGGCCACTGTATAGCCTCCGAGGGTCAAGGAGAAGCAGGCAAAGACCCTGGTTTACGATTTTTGGCGATACTTTGTCATTTTCGGGATAAAATCTTACCCAGACGGAAAGCTAGCCCGTCGAAATAGATTACAGCGAGCCAGACAGTCGGACGAGTTCATTTCTGATTGAGAGGGTCCATAGGTTGTATGCATGTTTTGGGTGCAGTGGCAGCACGGCGACTCTCCATCGATCCAGGCACTGAGCACATTAACTTGGCTCGTTTTTATTGATTTCTCTACGTGACTAATCCAGACAAAAAGATACATATAACATAAGTTGCTGTCAGAGTTCAATATTTGTGGAATCGGCGGCGTGCAATATGCACGCAGACCCAGACATATTATTACGTCAGAGCCCATTGCTTATAGTGAGGATCAATGTTTAGTTAGTTAAGTTTTGTGGGGCAGAGGCTGCGAACTGCGTAGTTTACGGCGACCTTGGTTGCCACTGCTGTGCTAATGAAATAGTGAGTGTGACACAGCCAGCTGTAATTGCCACGCTGTATAGTGATGGATGTGCGGTTGGAAGTGCCATTTGCTTTTGTGTAAACAGCCCTTACTTTAGACCAACTGCAGGTTGCACCCCCACCCCCTCCTCTCTCCCCACCCACCCACCCCCGTAGCACCTGGGCGACTGCCGTCAGCCTGGTAGAATTTATTATCCATTGTTTTCAATGACACATTATAATAATCTAAAGTGGACCCAAATTAAATTATTTTTGCACTGTGATATTGTGTCTTAAATCACAAAATTGTTTATGCTTACATATTTATTTTAGTTTATTTATATACGTTAATATTCAATAGGACAATGTACAACAAAAACTCTAATGCGGTAGTGAATTCAAATATACAGGTTCGTACCTTTCAGGATAGGATTCTTCCAGTTTGAATGCATGAGGGTGGATTTTGATTTTACACGTTAAATAAAATGCTACGAAATTATTACTCTTAGTTTCACAGAGCAAAAGGAATTCCTTTACTATCTGAAAGGCTCGATCAATATTTAGAAATGTGGTTAGAGAGGGTAATCAAATTAGTCATGTCTTATGAAACTGATATTAAAGCTATGCATTTTAAAAAACTCCCCCCCCCCCTTAAAAAAAAAAAAATAATAATGTAGATGTATTGGAGCATATTTGCAATGGGATCTTAGATCTATTGATTTCTTTTCTCACAACTTCACTCATTATATGAGAAACTTATCTGCTAATTTTGTTTAGTAAACAACAAGATTTTTTCAGTAAGTATAAATGTTTATTTATTATTTTAAGTGTGATGATTGCATTTCACTGTACACCTGTTTCTAATCATACTGATGCCATGTCTAGCATAATTAACTGCTTTCTACAGAGCAGACCTCCAGTGACATATTAATCATTCACTGTCCCACAAACCAGTTCAGTACCCTCCCTCTCTGACCCTCAATGGTCAGTTTCCTTGACCAGTACAGATCCAGTATGGCCAGTTTTGTCCACTTATGACCGGTCACTTAAAGTCCATTAACTAAGAATGTTGTCTGCACCTACTGGCCAAAAAATTCTCAAACATGGCATATGGGTGATCTAATGGATTGTAGAAAAACAAGCTTACTGAATAACTAATACACAAATCTACATATTTCTAAAGTGTCTGTCGGTAACATCCCTAAAAAAATTTACTATGCTGCCATTTAGCCACTTGCCAAAAATCTAAACTATAACAAAGTAAATAATTAAGTCAATACATTAGGATGACTAGCATCCCTGTTATAACCTGTTTGTCTCACCATTTACTTCACCATATACATATCTTTCTTTATATTTATATATTTATATATATATATATTATATGTACTACTTACAAATACTTATACACATAATTCTTGTACAACAGGTAGTAGAAAATAGGACTCCCAGAGCTTGTGGTGTATATATAATTTACCTTCCTATGTACAGGTCCCCGGGGTATATTACACAGGGGGGAAAACGTAATAAAAGAGAAAAGACTGTCCTTACCATACTTAACCATAAATGTATCAAAAATGTGAGTCACACAGGTGCTATCCATGACCTCATCAATTCTGAGGTGACATCATTAATTTTGATAATGACATCATCAGTTCATGATTGTAACATCATCACTTTATGATGATGACATCACAGGTTTTGATACTGATGTCATCAGTGGAGAAAGCTATACCATACAACATTAACACTGTCTGGCTCCATAGTCAGAAATCCCCAAATTTCTTTCAACTTCACCAATCAGAAGTTTCAATGGCAATAAGTGAGATGTTGTTCTATTAGTTTATCTACATAGGAGGTTATAGTAAAAGTACAGCTGAACGTCAATTTACATGTCATCAGCCTTACAGTACACATAATAAAGTACAAGTTTTTTATACACTTTATAAAGGTCCTTAATGACTGAACATAAACATTACTGACTGCAATCATTTCCACAATTATTGCCCCACCATGGTATTAACATTTACATAAACGCGCATTTTTTGTCCAATCCACATGTTAATGAGGCTGAGTAAATTGGGCTGCATCATCTAATGCTGTGACATGTTTGTTCAACAGCAGAAATTTCTTTATTTTTTTCCTATATGACACGTAAACAAATATTTTATAAAAATTCTCTTGGCTAGCTTAATGCAACCTTACACAAAATGACATGGTTACGACACAGTCATTTTAACTAACATGTTACTAAACAATGTCAACAAACAAAGTCAACACTGCTGGAGGTACCTATAACACTAAGTCCCACCAAAAAAACAATAATGACAAAAAATTCAATGCCAGAAAAAACAGATGTAACAATGAATAACTCAATCTATTAATAAATAATTGAGATGAGATCATCTGCAGAATAAATCAAACTCACAAATTCAATAAAGACAGCCAAAAAAATGTTTACCACGTCATCAGTTACCATCCACAGTGTGGAGGCGCTTAATAAACGATCCAAAATATCAACCAGAAATAATAATTCTGTAACATATTTACACGCACTACTGCTTATTTGAAAAAGGTCAAATAATTCCATTGTTCAAACAATGTTTGATATAAATGGCGGTTCAATAAATGGGGAAACTATTTGGACAAAAAATGACAGACAAAATGAAAAATACGAGAAAATAAAGGCAGCAAGAAAATATAATAATGAAATCAATAGCACAATGTGCCAAGAAATAATGCCAATAACATACCACAGAGATTGAAAGAAATAATTTCAAACATCAATTCCATCCAGACGTCTGGGTTTTCTCCAAATAACAAATATTGACTCTGTGAACATTAATTTATGTCTGCAAAATAATTTGTCAAAAGACAAAACTCTAAAGGTATTGAATGCCTTCCCCATTCAATGGCTATAAATTACATTTGAAAAAAAAATCAATATTTATAGAACAAGGAGCATACCAAAGAGTATGTTGAAATGTTTATCAATGATATCCAAGGGAAAGACACCATAGCTGTAGACAATAAACTAGAGAGAGCAGGTAACCACAGCTGCAAGGTGTCTTTGAAGAAACACAATGGTCTAGGACTGTTTTGAGCTGGAGTCAGCATTCAAATCACACCCACGCTAGCTGTAGAGTTTCCAAACAGTCCCAGCACTTCAATGCATCTGCACGTCTGTTACCGCACTGTGTTTCTCCCTTTTGTTGTTACTCGATCACAATTTCTGTTATGTAGAAGTTTTCTGGGATGTAACCTCCAAGTGGCTGACTCACAAGGATTCTGCAGATTCTGCACAAATCAACATAGCCAACCAATAACTCACCAGAAGTCAGCTTCTGCCACAACCTTCTCAATTACTCATGACTGAACTTCTGCCACAGACTATCTAAAAAAGGTTCACTGGAGCTTTACCGCGCTTGACAGCTGTTTTCTTGCATGATCATATATTGTGCAGTTTGCAATATCATAAAATTCACAATTTTGAGATAAAATAACATAATTAAGTTCATGTCTCCAACTCCTCTTGCCCTCTTCCAAGGGAGACATACATTAACTCGGTGATTAATAATGAGGTATTCCAGAATTATGACAGGCATAGACAATACCATAGCTCCCTTGTAGCATTTTATCTGTCCGTGGTGAGCCACAGTATTGATATTTTGTGGCAAACTGGTTTTTCATAAATCAACATCAGATGTGAAATGCAGCATGTTTTGTGGCCAATATTCACACTGAGTTGACTGGGTTTTCTTCCAGCTTATATACAGGCCCTATGAATTTTTAAATACCCTCCAATGATTGCAAACTTGAATCACTCTTCTTCCTTCTTTATTCTTTTCACATAATCTCCTTTAGAAATCAAGGATGTTCTTGTTCCTTTCATTGTTCTCCTTGTTTTTCTTTTAAAAAATATCAATCAGAACTGGTCCAAATCACATTTTTTTCTGTTCTAACTCTATGTTGGTAGTGTATTGAAAAGTGGTGACCTCTTCAGTTCATCCACTTGCGGCAGTTAGGTGCTCCACAACAGCAGGGGATCTTGTGCTGTTCATCTTCAAAGTCAAACTTGTAGTCATATGTGAGCTAAAAGAATAAATCATCAAAAAGGTGTACAATCATCTGAAAAAGTGCAGCCACAAAGCTTTCCCTTAACCATTTTGTAATTCCCTTTAACTAGGTAAATTATAATTTGTAGTCATCATCATCTGATAGTAGTACATTGCTTGTTTATCAGAAAAAATTGTAATACTGATGATCAATCAAACACTTGTTTTCCTTTATTTTGTTTTACCTCTTCCCCAGTAGCAATTCTTCTCTTGGCAATAATAATGATTTTGCTTTCCTTTTCAAATGGCACCACCTCCGCTACACAGTTGGGGTTGCAGGAGTGGTTGACGTAGCGTGCAAGGCCGCCAGACATTGTAGCATCAACAACTGTGTCATCGTTGATACGGAACATGTAGATACCACGGTTCTGGAGAGAAAAAATTCAGTTTTCTTCAAAAATCTAGTCACAACATAGCTGCAATTTATAAAACCTTTAAAACCTATAAAACCCTTTAGAAACAGGAGAAAAACTGCACAATGTAATTCATCAGCATCACAATAAAAGCCAAGCAGTCATAAATGCTATTTTAAAGGGAGTGAAGCATAGCAACTATATAATATCTCAGTACAAAGATCCATCATGGGTTTGTGGACAAATGGCAAGTCAGCTAATAAAAATGATCAGCTATGCATAAAGATAAATAACCAAACCAAGTGACCTGGTTATAAGACTTGATGTATATGAGAAGACAGCACTCACCGAGGCCTCGTAGATCTTCTCTCTCATCTCTGCGGTCTCGTTCCTGATGAGTTCCCCAATGTACTCTATCACCATTGTGTGTTTCTCAGTGTCTCTGGCAGCATAAAGGCCAAGGCCCTGGAAGGGAAGGTGGGAGGAAGAGATCAATACATCGTTTCTTTTTTTTTTTTACTCGATATTTTCAGGTTGCTAGTAAGACCATATTTGTAACTTTTTGTCTATTTATTTGTCTATTAATTTGTTCACTTTTTAAAAACCCTTATTCTTAACCTTGCTTATTAAATCATCATTGCAATGTTTTCATTTAACTTTTTATTTTTTTTTACTAACCTGTTTTTTTTTTTTTTTGGCCTTGCTAGGTAAGACGTAAATGCAAAGTTTTTCATTTATCTTTGCATTTATTTATTCATTACCTGCATTATTGGCCATGCTAGGTAAGACGTAAATGCAAAGTTTTTCATTTATCTTTGCATTTATTTATTCATTACCTGTACTTTTGGCCTTGCTTTGTAAGACGTAAATACAATGTTTTTCAATCATCTATTTATTTATTCATTACCTGTATTTTTGGCTTTGCTAAATAAGACATAAATACAGGTAATGTTTTTCATTTGTCTATTCATGTACTTATTCTTTGCCTGTATTTGGTCTTCTTAGGTAAGGCGTAAATGCATTTTCTATTCATTCATTCATTCACCACCAGTATTCTTGAACCAGCTATGTATAACAATAATGCAAAGGTTTTTTAAATATATCTATTAATTTCTCACCTGAATTCTTGACCTAGCCAGGTAAACCAAGCTTCTCCACTCTGTCTTCATCCTTCTGTACTGCTGAGACTTGGAGTGGACAAACTGCTTGAAGTATGGAGAGTCCACCTCACTGGTCACTCCGGTCACTGTACTGGGGAGGGAATGGGTCTTACTGCTGTGGAGGGTATGAGGTCTGAAAAAAAATTATTACAGATTATTTTCTCTGACCAAATGTAAGACATTGGATCTTATTGCTGTGGAGCGTATGAGGTCTGAAAAAACATGGTCTCATTTATTTTTTATCACAAATTATATTCTCCTATCAAATGTCAGAAACTGAAAAAGTTTGGGAGAGTGATTTAAGTCCAGTCAAAATGATGTTATAAAAATTGATAAATAAAAAAAACTACCTAAAGATGAGAAAAGGGCCTAAGTTTTGTTGTTATATGAAGAAATTTTTATTGTGACTTTTCAACGTACCTCCTGAAGTGTGTCCTGAGTTTGGGTTCTGATCTGGCACAGCCAGTGGGATTAATGGCCAGAGGCATCTCTATCAGAGGGCTGCGGCCAAACTTGAAACTGTAGTTATGCAGCAGATCTGTGCCTGGGAGCTGATGGTGGGATGAAAAACGAAACAAAAATATCATTAAAATGTTGGCATTAGAAGCACTAAATTACTGTTCAATCAGATTACTAATCACTGGAAGACATTTTGCCTTTTTTAATATCTGAATATTAGCAACATAGGAAGTTCAATGTACGTTACATCCTATACATGAAAACCCATTTTGGTGTCATGCCCTTACACTGAACAGTTTAAGGTAAAAACAGCATGCTACAAATAAAACCAGGGCCAATCACATATATCTGATTTACAGACTGAAAACTTATTTCAGTGGCATTTTTTTATAATGAATTGTTTAAGAACCCTGCACTAAATTACTGTCCAATCAGATTAATCAGTTGAAATGTTTTGCCTTTCTTTTTAAATCTGAACATAAGCAACATATGAAGTTCAATGTTGAGTTTCATCCTATGAAAACCTATTTCGAACTGTTAAAGAATCCTGTCCCATGTGTCTAACTTACAGACTCTATAAGCTGCACGATGATTGGCTCATGAAGTCCAAACAGGTCCTCTCCATCCATATAAGCAGGGAACATCTTGACGAGGTCAGCGTCCCTCCTCATCTTCTCCATAGGTGTCAGCAGGTGCATCCACGCCTCTGTGGAAATATCGTGAGATTTTAAGAGTAAATACAATTATCAACAAATTCTAAGCTACTCAAAAATTTCTAGATAAAATTATATGAATGTGTAAACAATTTTCCTACAGTTCCAAGTCCATAAGGTTGAAACTAAACACCTAGAAATTTTGGTTTTATAAGAATGTCATTGACAGAAATCTTTTCCCATGGCCCTACCTGTAGCAGTCAGTTAGAAAGTTTTTTTTTCTATTATTTTTATTATGTTGCACTACCCTAGACACCACAAGTTTTTTCTTTAATTGACTAGGTATTCAACCTTGACTAATAAGTTTATTTTAACAAATTCATAGAATAAAGCTGGTCAGCAAAATAGAGGCATTACTGAGCTTTACTTACCCTTAGGCGTGGCCTCTTTGAAAGCGACCTCTGGCATTCCCTCTTCCATGACCTTGACCTCAAACTCGGGATGCCCGTCTTTGTCGGAGATGCTGCACATGTACTTGCAGCGTTTCTTCAGGTGGTGCATGCTCCAGTAGAACCTGGTGATACGGAATCCAACCTGGCAGGAAAGGAAACCATGGGTAAATATCTATATCATAACAAAACTCTACCACATCCAACAAAGGGAGAAGGGTAAACAGGAATTTTCATTGTCATTTAGATGATGTCTGAATGAGTAAATAAGAATAAATTTCGTTGCTTTTATCCGTAATGCAAAATGCACCGTTTAATTGATACTTTAGTACTTTCTTTCTACTTGTCACTGTTTCAGTAATTAAAACAATTCCTTAGAAATGGTCAATTCTCAATATCAAAGTAAAAGATATATCCAGATATTTGTAAGTGTTGAAGCCCAAATACTTACAGGATATATAGTGTCCCGCGTGTGGAACTTCCCACTCGCTATCTGGTGGGGCAGCAGCTGACCTACGCTGTGAAGAATTAAAGAGCCGATACGCACAGCATGCTGGGTATCCTGGCGGTGAACGATCCTGGAAAAGCTGAATGGTGAAAAGTGGTCCGGCCATGTTAATGATTAGTTAGCAGCTAGCAGCAGACAGAAAGCGGTGATGCACCGGCCACCTGTATGCAATACATGAGTATGATATATTTATATATATATATATACACACACAGAAGTTTATGGATTTAAATGTCTGAAGAAACCCTGTCCATTATACACTTATAGGCAGTTATTATTGAAGTGGTTTGTGTCACCCATGATTATCCATTCTTAATCAACCATCCATCCAACCAACCAACCAACCTGCCATCCATCCAATCAACCACCCATCCAACCCCTCATTCAACCATCCAACCAACCAACCATCCATCCAACCAATCAACCAACAAACCACCCACCTAACCCCTCATTCAATCATCCAACCGATCAACCAACCAACCAATCAATTTGTGAACAGTAACAGGAAGTAATCTGGTATTTTCATAGTTAAAAACAGATAATCAGGATGTTTATATTTTGAAAGTTAGTTTGCCCATTAAATCCCAGTTTAATAGAATTCAGTATTACAAAATTGTATATAGGTAGAGCTCAGTGGTTACCCTCAAAAACCACAACCTTACTGGCTGTATTTATAAATTCCAAGTTTCAAAATTTTGAGGGACTTCTCCCTTATTTCATATTCTTATAAGGAGGTTGGGGTGAGGTTTTTAATTAATAGCTTCTTAGCAGATTTCAAGATATCAGTCAGTTTTTAGAAGCTTAAGCCAGCAAGCTGTAGCACAAAGATATAATGCCTGTTGAAACCTGTGACTACTGATGAGAAGAAAAACAATGGAGACCAATGGAGAGCATTGCTGCAGAACTAACAAACAACACCTTACAAAACAGTAAAATTATGTAACAAGCCTGTGCTTCAAAATTTAGATAAAAGATTCACTTAGACATTCTATTTTTTTTTCAACAAATTTTACACAAATGATACATTAAATAAAATTAAAAATGTAATTATGCCCAATTTACATGTTATCAGGGTATACACGAGGCTCCAAGTAACTTGTTACCTTGAAATTTGATTTATATCACAAGAAAGAACAAATTACAGCTCTGGTTTAGCTCAAGTTTATGGACACTGTCAACTTAAAAATTTTGATAAACTGAACAAAGTTTTCAGTCCCAAAATAATTGAGTTACATGAACAACACTGCATTGATGATTGTTATGTCTCTATAACAATCATATAGTGACATTACACATAACTGACAAAGAATTCCCAATCAGTTTTTCCCATATTATGTCTTTATAGTTTCTAAAGCACAGTAAGCAACGAGTTTGTTAAGGCACAATAGGAGTTACTAGAAGCACCATATATAATCAGAAAAACATGAGATATAAGCTGAGGTCATAGTTTCAAAATTTTTTGTACATTATGTATTCATCTTTGTATTACAATAGTATAAGCAGCATTATTACTGTCTTGCCAAGTTTAATATTTCAGCAGTATATACATTGTACCGCCATATTTGAAATGTTGGAGATGTTAAGACATTCAGGCAATATGTGTTCAATTAGAGTTTTTTTAGTAACAAAATTCTGACATGTTTTTTAGTCTTTACTACAGCAATGACATGGTCGGAGGGGGGGGGGGGGTACCTACCTAGCCACTTGTTTGCTCTCTTCCCTTTGTATATACACTCTTCTGAAAACTGTGAGATCTTTTAGTTCCCCTTCTATCACCCCCTTAGGCTTGTGAACTGGACATAAGATTGTCTGAAATCCAAAATAACTTGTATGTGAAGTCCATTAGTGTTGTACATTCTAGAAACACGGACATGTACTGATATGAAGTTTAATTTGGGAGAACACTGCACTAAGCAGCTACTTTTAGAAAAACTTGACACTAGCAAGCTAACTTCACTGTCACTTAAACAATACAGAACAAAATAAATAATTATAAATAATTTTCAATTAAAAATGAACTTTTTTTGATACACTTTCTGATAAGTGAAGCTCCTGTTAATCACATAAAATGACAGTAAAACATCAAAACCCCAGATGTAAACGAAAAGTCCAGCTCACCTTATCTTGGAAGAAGACACAACCATCTTTCTGAGCACACCCAACATGGTAGATGTTGGTACATCGCACCTTGAAACATCCCAGTGTTGCCCCGCTCCTCTTACACAGCACGCACTCCAATGTCATTCCGCGCTTCAGTGAGGCATCCACATTGATTAGAGCACCCGCGCATGTTTCGTAGACCTCGTGCGACCAGAGTGCACAGTTCAGGTGCGACCACTTGTCTGTGTCCAGGTTAAGAAGTCTACAGGAACGGATAATACAAATATGCATTTAGTTTTGATTCACTTGGACATGTATCTTGTCCCTGATATATATATATATCTATTCATTCATTTTAGTGACATGCTAAGGAAGCTACAATAAATAGAAAAATGACCATCTTTCATTTCAAACATTCAACTATTCGACATTTATTCACTTATTATGGCCTATCTGTTAATCAATGCATTTAGTCCAACTCATGTCACTGATGACTCTCAATGTTTTGGTAACCTCTCAAGTCAAAGCTATGATAAAACAAAAACAAAACTCATTCGTTCTCTCACCTTCCTGGGCCGTCCGTCTCTCCCTCCCCCTTTTCATGGCAAAAAGCACACTTCCTGGTGTCCTCGGGAACTGGGTTGGGGACCAAAGCCAGTGCAATTTTCCTGATCAGCTTGGTGAGCTCTTCATCAGATGGAGGTGTGTAGGCTTGTGCCTTGGGCACCATCTTAGGTTCCCAATGTTTGTAGCACTTGCCACGCCATTTCTTCTCCAAAGGCTGGAAATACAGGAAATATTTCATAATGTCACAGTGCATTAGAAAATTAAGGCATGACCTTATTTGTTTTTCTTCAGCTATGGTGTCTGTACACATTCAATTCGTCATTATAAAAAAATCTCGTAAAAATGTTGAATTACAGGATTCAAATTTAACACATTAATGCAACTGTTCTGTACTTTCCCATACACTTTCTTTCGCATGTTAAAGCAAGCAAGTAAATAGCGATAAGGCACAATAAACAAAATCTGAAGAAAACAAATATATCACTAGGTCTGTTTTATATTATCAAGACTTAACAAAAGCACATTTTATTAGAACAAAAACCAACCTTTGGTGTAGCAGGCACACCGTCCAGACTACTGCTTGACCGCCGGTGTTTTAGGGCTTTCACATCCTTCTTGATGACCACCCCAGTTCCCGATTCTGTTAGTGACACTGAGAGAGAGGCTGGGATGCTGGGAGGTGGAAGCTTGGCGTCATCTTGAACTGCAGAGGAGCTTTTGTACTCGACTACGTCACTTGCCTCCTGAAACCAAATGCTTCATATCAGTACCTGACTAAACTTCCATGTTGCATGTAGATTTAGAGTGAACTATTTCAGCTGTCAGTAAATCATCTATCATATGATGACATATTCTGTCAAATGCAAGGTAGCCTTTATAATTTCATTATTTTCAAAAAGTTCACAGCAATCTAGGTATTTGGTTGAATAACTTAAACTAAAATTACTTATCATTCTATCTGAAAAGTAAAGAACAGACACCAATAAAGTTTTAACTTTTCTTGAATAATGTATAAAAACCTGAAAAAAATATGTTAACCTTATTAAATTATTTAAAATTAAAAAACTCAAAGAATAACAGCAACCTTTCCCATTTCACCAGGGCTACAGCATACCTTAGATTCTGCTGTCCCAGCTGAGGTCCTATGACTGAGGGCAAACTGCATATAACAGTTCATGCTACAGAACATCACATCATCCTCGTCCAGGGACTCCTGCTCCTCTTTACTCAGGAACGGCATCTCCGACACCTTCTTCTGGATGCCAGAACGAGGCACGAGGACATCACAATGGCGGCAGTATTTCTGCTTGGCTTTGATCAGGGTCTGAATGTTAATGGCTTCCTCGCGATCTAAAACATAACCATACAACTTTATACAAATGCTCACATATTACAAAGGATAACTTTCCATAAACATTACCATATTTCCATTGGGTTTACAACAATAAAAATAATTTGTTTTGATGAAACTGTGTAATTATTAAAGCACTCTCATTATAAAATATAAAAATATAAGAAACATGACTAAACCTTTTTTTAATTCAAGCAGACTTTTTACTACTTTGTCAATAATGTAACTAATGTAACTAATTCTCCCTTCCAATTTAAACACCCCTATGCTATTTCATTTTTAGCTCATAATTGTGTTGCTTTACAATTTGCAAGGTTTTCTTACGTTTTCTTCCAGTTCTGAAAAGATCAGGTGATGGGCTCCGACTGATTTCATAGGATGGTGGAACAGCAATCTTCAGCAGATTAGCCAACCGCGCAATGACACCACTCATGTCTTCTGCTGCTGCTGCAGACAGGGTCAAGGTCACAGAAACCTTTGAAACGAATCAGAGGCAAAATGATTGTTGGAATGACTCCTTAGCATTTGTTGAGTTGGGTTAAGTAATATTTCTAGTATTTCATCTTAAGATGATCTGATAAAAAAATGTCCATCTTTTAAAGTTGTAACAGATCTTTTACTCTTCAAAAAGATGAGACATTTGAATTGAGTTAGCTCAGCCTTTTTCATTGCAACATGAACAAATA